CTAGTCTATCTCAGATCCATGATCGATAGCCTAACATGAAGGTCACACTGAGCTTTATGGAGGATCAATAGTAAGTGTGGTTAGTGCATTGAATAGGACTTTTGGCAAATATCCTCCTGCATAATGAGCAATGAGATGATACAGTGATTATCGCAAGCTAAAGCGTCAACCTTTTCCTGAATCAGTACACTTCTGCACTCTTCGCGAGTATCATTAGTTGTCGATCTCGCCTCAAATAAACCAGTAGAAGGGCAAAGGAGCAGATTCAGTCTATACGTGGTTTAAGATGTGTGACTTTTTAGACAACGATATCTCAGACAATAGCCTGACATGTGAAAGTACCTCAACATTCGATGGTTAAAGTGCCTTCAAAGCTCTCAATTTGTATGGGAAACGTAGATACCTCCGTAGGTATAAGAAGACAACAAATTCATAAAGTTTCTTTACAAGTTACATTGGGAATTTTTTGAAATAAAAAGTCCATGTAGGGACCTTTGCTCTGAATATTTTGGACGACTCTTGATCACGTAGACAATTAGAGATAATGCTAGCCAAGAGCCATTTCACTAAAATTAAAACCAGCCTTACTAATTATGTTTAGTAAAATTTCACCATTCTACTTCTTCGTACTAAAGCCAAACAATCGTAACGAATGGACCTTGGGATTGATTAATCAACTGGATTGAGGTAGTTTTTCTAGGCCTTGTGTAGGTGAGATCTTCTCGAAGTAAATGATAAATCTTCTTGAGCAGTATGTTGAATAGTTAAATATTTGGACTAAACAACAAGCGAACGGGCAAAGGTTAATTCAGGTCTGAACTTAGCCGAGTGCAAGCAACCTCAAATTTCTTGTAAGAAAAATAGTACGTGGGGCTATAATTTAGCTAGACTTCATATTAATGAATCAAAAGTAACTATTTATCTGATGGTCATCCATGAAGATGCTATAGTCCTCCACCGAGTAAAATTTAAGCACGCGTGACACAAACCTTAAAAATCTGGATAATTCGGCCCCGATAATCTTTGCTAAGTGTTTTTTACAGTGTTTCCTACTATGGAAATACTCATCACCACAAAGAAAAAACATAGCAGACTAATTGGGGCGTAAAGTCAAATAATTGAAAACGGATGTCCAGAAAGTCGGTCAAATGGCGGATAACTATAGGGATTATAAGGATATCTCCCAGTGGCTTTCGAATAGACTGACTAATAGATCATTTACAACCATATTTTATTATTAAGTGAGAATAAATTAGCTGGCTACCTGGAGTAGTTAAAATGGAGATAAGTTGAAACTAATGCCTTGGTGATAAGGTGGAATCCGATTATGTTTGTGATGTACAACTTACTCCAAATAAAATATACAATAGCAAGAAGGGATTTAGGTTCATACATTGTCTCGAGTTTGAAGAAAAAGAATAAAAAGGTGTATCTTTAGAAACATGGTAAAATAAATGTGGCTCTCATAGTAAGAAAATCGCCGGTGGTTAATCGCACGAGAGAGTCAATTTATAGTAAATATAATACACATCCTGAGTCTGTCATTGGTCGAGCCAATGAGTTAACAAAAGAATTGAATGGTAGGGTCAAATAGGATAAGACAGGTGGTACTCGTGTTAATAAGCTTATATAATTTTTTTTCATGATCTATAATAGTTAATCGGTGTAAAGACCAAGAAACGGTTTAAATCAATTTTTACAGCCTGATTATGTTGTCAGAACGATCTAGGTGAAGCTCTTGTTCGAAGTTCAGGTCATAGTGATTGAAGGAATTTTCAGCATACCAGGTCCACGACTAGACCCTGAAAAGTATCGCAACCAATATAGCAGATGACTACAAATAAGATGCATTCAGCTGGGTTGCCCTGGAAACGTGACCAAGCTACAAAAACGAGGTCAGGCCACTTCTATATTATAGGACAACTCTGAAAAATTGGTCAGAATCTCATTAATAGGAGGCAAATATCACATTACATAGTAAGTTCAAATAAAACAATGCACAAGCTGTTCATATTAACTCTGAAGTATGAATTCCACGCTAAAATTATTGAATAAATCAATACCTCCACAATATCCCCTTCCGAATAGCTTTAGCCACTAGAGTAAACGGGATCTCGGCATATTGCAAAAATCAAGTTTCAGAATTTCCAAAGACCATTCACTCCAGATTATAATTTTAAGTTCGCGAACAAATTCGCCTCATTAGCTAGCCAGATATTAAAATAAATAACATGTTCAAACGAGATATTTCAACTGTGTCTGCCCAATTTCTTTTATAAAGCGCCAAAGCCATATCTTAATTCGATTTACAAAATGATATATTTTGAAATATTAAATGTGATAAATGGATTAGAATACGAAAAGAGGTTTGGCCAAAAGGTATGACCATAGAAGCATCAAAGTTATGCTAAGAGAGAAAATGTGAGATTAAAGAAGATGGCAGTTTGGCGCTGAAGCCAAAGAAAATTGCATTGTGCTTTATGAACATATAAGGGATCAGGAAAAATAGAAGCTTTTACTTAATGTATTACTAAGAGGCCCATTAACCGTTCAAAACTCTGATCGATGGTGGCAAAACTAAGATACTGTGTATTTAAACTTCCTGTCCAGTGTCTAGTTGATCAGTGAATGGCGCAGACATAAGTGACAACCTTTATTTTTATGAATCAGAAACAAATAGAGCTGAAAAAGAACAAATATGCAAAGTACCTTCTATTATGGATGCAAGAAAGTTAGGAGTTAGAGGTTTTCCAAAAATGAAAACAAGTGATGAATTTGTAAATGCAAAAATTTGTAATATAATTTTACAGAACCTACACAAAATCAAAGAAAGAAATTTTAAAAGGAGTTGACTCAACAAGCTAGCATGGCATTCCATAAGAATTAAATGTTTGAGTCTCTGTAAGTTGGTAACATAATCAATAAAAATATTTTTATATAGGATCTATACCTAGAAATTAAACAAGACCCTAAATCCTATAATAGTCAGATAAATTAAGTACATTAGTGTGAAACATTCAAATTGAATTTTTTGACAAAACACCAACAGTATATTAGGTAATAATCAGCATAAAGAGTCGCGAGAAATAAAAATAGTATGCAATAAATGATGAACATACATGCTTGACACTGTAGCCAGTCTTGGCACTAGTTTCAATAAACATGACGTTCAAATCTTTAGCAAGACGTTCTCCTTCATCAGTCGTAACTTTTCTACAAAATAATCTAAACAAAATCTAACCTTTTATCAGCCAAATCAGTCTTATTCCCGACTAGCATTATAATAACATCACTGCCCCTCTCATTTCTAACGTCATCAATCCACTTAGAAGTCTGAATAAATGATTCCCTAACTTGAAATCAGAATAAATAAACAAAATTATTTACTGCATATATCATAAACAACAACTGCTACAGAAGAGTCCCTGATATAACTGGGAATCAAACTGCGAAAACGTTCTTGTCCGGCTGTATCCCAAAGTTGCAATCGTATCTTAAGTAAATAGTAGGTCAAATAATTACTGTTCTGTCCTCCAAGTACATTGTCTTAGAAAGAAAGTCAATGCCGATCGTAGCCTGGTACATATAACAATAAATACAACCATACCTGGTAAACGCTATCAAATGTTTCATACATGAACCTAGTTATGAGGGATGTTTTTCCAACTATTAAAGGGTAATGTAAATAGACGCAAAACAATGTTACCGCTCTGTTCACCGAGAAAAACTAATTTAAACTTTCTCAAAGGATTGTTAAAATCTGGAACGGAAGGCATTACGAGGGAAAGGGAAAATCGAGCAGAGTGAAGTAGAGCGCGTTGGCTAAATGCAGTTAAAAAGATATTGATAAATAATATATATTTGGTAGCACAGAGTTAGTATTTATTTATAGCAAACGTCTTAATATTTTTTAAATAGTAAGCATCGTCAGTGATCAGCGTCCATCTTAGCACCACACTGCAACTCGTCAAAATAACAATTGAAGCCTATCCTTTGACCACTTGTCTGCTAAATAATCGTGGTATCTCTCCTGCCTCTTTGGGTTAATCACTAATCCTATATTCTTCTATCACGCCTTCACTATCACTATTTTTACTCGTTTATTTAAATGTGGTATGCTGTGCCCTTGTGAACGGCTTTCATGAGAACTATCGTTGGTTGGGACACGAGAGACTAGGACATAGGAAGTCATAGACTTGGTATTCCGGATAGAAACAGAATAGGCAGTGGAGACTAGAGCCAGTTTCCTGACAGTAGTCCTCTTTTACTATTGACGTAGTCCATGAAGCAAAGGCTT